CTTAGGTACATCCATTTTCATGGTTTGTCTTCTAAGTTCATAGGCAGTGAGATTTCCAATTAATTCATCCAGTGGGAGAGTGGCAATATTCTTTGATTCCTGAATGGCAATGAATTTGCTCTCCCAAGTGATAGGCAAAACCCTAGTCAGTATCTTCTCGGCTCTATCTTCTTCATGAATAATCCTTCCAAGAGACTTTAGCTTATTTGTCAGTGTAGTGAACCTTGTGTACATCTCTTGAATAGTTTCTCCTTCCCTCATAGCAAAGTTCTCATATTGAGAATACAGTAGAGTTCCTCTGGATCTCTTCACCTGAGGTGTTCCTTCATGAGCCACTTGCAATGTGTCCCAAATTTGCTTAGCAGTGGTACAACTTTGGATTCTGCTATACTCATCTGGACCAAGTCCACAGACAAGCCATTTCTTGGCTTTAACATTCTTTTCCCATTTCTTCAAGTCCTCAGCAGTGTAATCCGCTCTTGTCTTTGGCACATCTACTCCTTCAACATTTTTCTTTAAGGTAGCTAGTGGACCATCGGTGACAATATCCCATAGCTCATAGTCATTTCCTATAATGTGATCTCTCATCCTATTTTTTCACCAAGAGTAGTACTGGCCATTAAAGAGTGGTGGTCTAGCAGTAGATTGCCCTTCCCAATTTTCAGGTGGTGCACTCATGTTGATCTTCTCCTAAGTTGTAAGCCTCTTCAAGGAGAACCTGCTCTGATACCAATTGATGTTTTATACTTCAAATGCCACACAAGGGATGGGGGATTTATGTGGTGTCCAATTTTTTGCGTGCACAGATTATATGAGGACATGGTTCTTCTATGTGTTCCTTGTACTACTATTACAAAAATAATAAATGCGAAAAGTAAAGAACACAACTATTTTACGTGAAAAACATCCGGATCAAAAGATGAAAAAATCACGACATACTACTCAGTAGGATTTTCTCCAACAATTCACTAAATCACTGAGCCAAACAACATTTACAAAATTCTTTGTAAACCTAAGGATTACCTCTAATCTCGTTGTGGCAACAATTCTCTAACTGTTGCGACAACTTCAAATAAACTCTAACTTGAATACTTAGAGTACCTAATACAATTGCTTCTAGATAAAGCTGAAAGGTACAATTTGAAAACACCCGCTACAATGAAACTAGAATAAAAGACAGACACTTGGAACTGGTTCTTCTATCTAGTTTATGTAGCTTTAGGTTCGCACACTTGAATCACACAAGAATTGCTTGCAAAATAACTTGCTATTTTGCTCTCAACTTATGTTTAACTTCAGCGTTTGTAAGTACCTGTAAAATAAGAACATCCTGCAATTTATAGAGTTAGTAGAATAGAAAATAACTAGAGTTCCAATGCTATACTCTTCCATGGTGGAAGAGTTCTAGTTATCTTTAACTTCTAACCCTTCTCTTATCTTGGATAAGTTCTCTTTAAGTAAGGAGTCCTTCTTCTTATCAATTATGCAACCTTTTTGATCAGGAGATATCAGATATAACAACTTAAACTTATCTCTTTCACGTGCATCTCTTATACTCGAATTTGTCCGTGTCTGTGTACACTATGTATGAACCTTGTTCATGCTTGAGTTCCTTTGTCAATCATCAAAACAAACTCCGTTTGGGCCAACATTATGTCAACAAGTTATTGCTCTAGAAGGCCTATTAGTATGCTCAACCTAACACTTTTTAAGTTTACCACCTTTTTACTTGATTTGCGACTAGGGCATTGTTAACTTTATATGTGCTATTTTTACATTATGCTCCTTTACAATATATAATTTTTAAAAAATGGCCTTTTTAGATCTCTTATGTGTAAAAGACAAATCTCTTATGGGTAAAAGTAAATTTTTCATGTGTAAAAAAAGAGATAGATCATAAAACTAAAAATAAATTTGTAAAGAGCCACAAAACCAATGACTACTTTATCTAGAGCCAATTCCAGCTGCAGGAATTAGGAAGAGCAGTTTTATAGTTGTTTGGCCAAGCTTCTAAAATTATCTTATTTTAGAAAGTATTTTTTTAAAACATATTTTTAAAATATTCTTTTTTGGTGAGAAACAGTTTTTGTTTGACTAAGTAATTTGAAAAACACTTTTGAGCAACAATTAGTGTTTGGCCAAGTTTTTAAAAAGTGCTTCTAAGTGTATTTTTCTCAAAAGTGCTTTTCAAAAATGTGCTTTTGAGAAGAAACTATTTTTTTCTGCCTCTTAGAAACTGTTTTTGCTTCTATTCAAAAGCATTTTTTTCTCCTTTAAGAAGTTTGGCCAAACACTTTAATCTTTGGGAAAATAATAACTTTGGCCAAAAAAAATAAATTGATCAAACTGGCTATTAGCATTGAAACTTGAAAAATTAAAAGCTCAATTTGTAATTCCATTTGCATTGGACATAGGAGGGACGACCAATTTCCCTTTTTATTTTAACAGCAAATATTTGAGAGGGAATTCTACCACACTTTCCAAGTTCTGCAAGTAGGAACTTTTGAGATGACTAGTCTCAAATAGAACCTGGAAACTTGGCTGGTATATATTACCAAGTTAAATCAATTGAATTGACACAGAATGGTGCCATGTTATGTATAGGAAAATCATTCCATAAAGATAAGTGCCACTGATTGTTCAAAGAAAAAACCTCATGTCACACCACACTTAGTTCATATTATGTTGATTCATGACTACTTAGCTAACTCTTTGCAGGTCCAATCAAGTGTTTTATTCTGGTCTAGCTATATTCTTAGGTACCAACTATACCTCCAAATTTATGTAAGGGCCAGAATTTCATGCTCCTCCTTTTATGACATCTGTGAAAGAAATCATGAATTCCTCTAGTTAATTAATGGGTTGCAGTTTGTAACTTTTGGTGGGGTAGGAAGAGGGGGTAGGTTTTCCTCAAAGGCAGATTGGGTAAGCCGATAATTGTTTTTGACTCGAACTATATATATTAAAACACCAAAGAACTTAAACTATATAGATACAATAAGATTACACTCGTTCTAAACTCATCGACTCGAAATCCTGGATCCGTCTCGGGGTTTCCTTATAAATGGAACTCTTAATTTCCTTCTTAGTTGGTGCCTATGTGTAGATTGGTTGGATTAGATCAATCTGTAATAAAAGTTCGTATTTTTAATGTTTGTTTTCAATCTTTTAGGAGTCGTCAATATCATTCAGCTTATTCACTACTCTACGAATGGTTCAAGATTCAGTGATGTTGAAATAACGTTGGTCAATGCAAGGGATGGTGTCCTAGAACATCAGTCCAATTCTCTTTCCAATAAAGAAAAAGAAGAAAAAAGAAGAAAAAGTTTAAATCAAACAGCTTCACCCACTACTGAAATGATAAACACAAAGCACAGCCTCTAAAAATTCATTGATGATCTAAAGCTTTGAGCAAGATGATGCATTGATTTTGAGTGAGAACAGGAGGGAATCTGCTAATCATTTCAACTTTAGAACTCAAAAAGAAAGTAACGAGAAACTCCTCCCTCCCCCCAACCTTCCTTTTATTACTTGTCATTTTCTGATGGATAATGTATGGTGCAGAGTCAAAGGCGCTAGCAGAATTTAAGGTCTATGGATGGGGAGTTTAGTGTAAAAATAGCACGGGGTAGCCAGTTTTCGGACTGGTCATTTAAAAATAGCCGGCGTTTGCAAAGCTATTGAAAAATAACCACTATTTTGCTGCAATACAAAAAGTTCCAGCATAATATACTGGAGATCGGTGCACCTGTGTATAATATGCTGGAACTCCAACACGGTGAAAGTTCCAGCATAATATACTGGAGAATGGAGCATTTGTGCATGAACTTCCAGCATATTATGCTGGACTGATATAAAATCCGAAAAATACTCCAGTATATTATGCTGGAGTATATTCCGGATTTTGAACAATGTTTTCGTTCAGATTTATCTTTATATGAAAAGTGGCTAAGTTTCGATTACTTTTGAAACTGTGGCTATTTTTGAATGACCACTTGTAAATCTGGCTATTTTTGAATTTCTCCTGAGTTTAGTCCGTTTAAGTTGTTGAGTTCTAAATTAATAATTTGTACATATTTAATAAATTTTTAAAATACAAGATTTAGACTAACGTTGCTAGATTCAGCCGAACCCTTATCCCGCATGCTAGCTCTGCGTCTGAGTGCAGTGGCTTTGAATTTCAATTCAAATACAAGAAAATACCCTGAAAAATCTTCAGATGTCTCTTTTTTCCTCTTTTTTTTTTTTTTTTTTTTTACTGTAAA